ACACGCAACATCGGAAATTGAGAGGGGTTCAGAATAAATGGTAAGAGAAGGGTGAGGGTGGGCGGAATGAGTGGGAGTGTGGTTGGAATTCGGCTGAGAGGGAGAGGAAAGGCACGTCAGGCGCCCCTGTCATAGTGATGCAAGAAAATGCTGTGATTGTAATGCCAGTAGTGGTGATGCATCTGTCCTACAACTGTAGGTCGTGGCAAAGTACTTGATCTTATATACGGGTAGAAAATACCTAACCGAGCGGCGCTGAGTCGCCAAGTTCTAATTCTGCTTAGCTACTTTGGCAATAGTCGAAGACTTACTTGTACACTGACTACACTTGACGAGGCACAGGCTTCATAGGTGGACAGCTGAAGTGGAGGTAATAAACAGAATTAAAGCTAACATAAATGGGGAACAAGCGAAGCTATAATGAAATTCTCATCCAACGCGAGTGAGTAACGAGAACGACTTGAAGCTTGAAGCTTGAAGCCCCAGGGGGACAGCATGGGTACTAGAAGATAAACCGATTTACTCGGCCAGGAATATTGGCCGAGGAGTTGCTGGGGTCTGGGGCAGGGTCGAGCCAGGGCTGGCAGTGGCGACAGTCATCTACAGCTAGGGTCATTAAATTGAACATTCTGTACATCTTACCGGCCATGGGTCTCTCAGGTTAACACGCCTCCGAGTCCCTTACCCTTGCAACACTACTCTTACTTATTTATCACCGATTTATCTGCATAGATGGGCAACTGCATATTAACCTGGTATTCGGACAGAAAAAAGAAGGCACGGTCAGATGCTATTGACCGTCAAATAAAAGAAGACTCTATCGCTAGGAAGGAGTATGAGATACTTGTTCTCGGTATGTATCTTCCTTTCTGCCCCATACTAGGTCTATTTCATTTTTTATTTCATGATCGAGACAAATATTTCCGCAGTTGTATCTACTCGGTCTATTTCCTTCAACTGCCCTTATCCGTTCAACCCCCTCTCTTTGTTCTCCTGTTCATATCCAACTTCAGGGTCCAGTGAATCTGGAAAGTCGACAATAGTCAAGCAGATGAAAATCACTCATCAGAATGGCTTCACCAAGAATGAACTCATGATGTTCCGTCCGATAATATATCGGAATACTCTCGACTCAGCGCAAGCCATTGTCCTACACATGCATAACATGAATGTAGAATGTGTAACGCCTGCGAATCGGGTACGTTCTCTCCCACTTTCTCTCCTACCCAATTTATTACTTTCTATAGACATTCGCCGAACGCATCATCAAATACAGGGTTGAAAACACCCCCGATTTTGTTTTCTCTCCTGATATTGCACGAGCCATTCATGAATTATGGCAAGATCCTATCATTCCAAAAGTGATGGACTGTTCGAGCCAGTTCTATCTTATGGACTCAGCTGGCTAGTGAGTAACTGAACAATTATATTCACTCGCATTACAAATACTTACGGTATCCATTCGCAGTTTCTTTACGGAAGTGCTCCGTATAGGCGCCCCGACTATACACCAACAAAAAACGATGTACTGCGAGCTCAAGCGAAGACAACCGGTATCACCCCAACGCGGTTTGACATGGGGCAGATCTCGTGAGTACGCCGGCATGTCGAAGTTCTATTTTTGATCGTGGTCTTGTAGCATCCATATGCTTGACGTCGGCGTCCAGCTCTCACAACTGGAGAAGTGGATACATCATTTCGATTCCGTGAGAAGCATCATTTTCTGCGCAGCATTATCGGAATACAACCAAGTGCTATTGGAAGGGAAGAACCAGGTAGGTCCTGTGCATGCGCGATTCTTTGTTATCAATGATTTTGTCAATAGAATCGCATGCAGCAATCACTGATCCTATTCGAGGCGGTCGTCAATTCCCGATGGTTTTTGGGCACTTCCATAATCTTACTATTAACCAAGATAGACGTGTTCAAGAACAAGTTACCAAAGGTATGTATCCATTGTTGCGAACACATGCAGATTCGTTGACGCTTTGCAGGTACCGATTGAGAAATACTTCCCAGAATATACAGGCGGCGCAGACTGCAACAAAGCGGCAAAACATATTCTATGGAAGTTCATGCAAGCCAACCGGGCGCGCCTAAGAGTATACCCTCAGTAAGTGTGATTTATCACGCTTCGCTCATCATTCACTGCGCCTTAGCTTGACACAAGCCACCGATTCAGCGTATACCATATACTGCCTAGTCTTCGTTGCAGTCAAGGAGACGATCTTACACAACGCTCTCAAAGACTCGCGTATTCTGTGACGTCTTCCTTTCCGGGTTTCTTGATGTCTATGTATTCATTTCCTATCATATGGTTAATCTGTATTAACGAAGGTGCAGCCCGCACATATATATATCTGGAACGCCTGGTTATTCTCTAGCATGTTATCATCATATTTAGCATACCATCGAATATTCATTGTTACCCTTGCTGTCCGCGAGATTGATATGCATGCGACCATGCGCCTCTCTTACATCTCTTTGTGTGAGTGCGACTTTTGCATACGCTGATGCGCCCGAGATGGTCGCAGTGAACGCAAGCTTTTGTACATATAACCTGTAGTATATACAACACAGTGATAATGTCAGGCAGATATTACAAGGTGAGAATATAGAGCATGATACAAGAAGACAAAACATACTGGGAGCCACTGTATAGTATTAGTATGACACATCTCGTGCACTAACCGTCGCCAACCTGCCCCTGTTCACTGCCCCAATGGTTGGGCCCAAAATTCCTCGCACTCAAAACTGATACAAGAAGCGGATACTGACCGTCTAACATCTTAAGTGACTTTCTCCATGTCTTCCAGAGCAAAAGTTCTTCTAACAGGACAAGCTCCTCACAATCATCCTCCGGGGACTCTGCGCATTGTTGACATTTATCTGAAGCTAATGCTTCGTTGCTTCTATGAGGGCAGCCCGTAGATGCGCTGCAATACCAACCACACAAATACAATTAGCGAGGGCTCTATACAACAAGGAAAGAAATGAAGGGTCTATTTCGGCTCGAATGCTGCGTATCAGCTGAAAAAAGGAAGTAGCGACCATCTGCGACGTTCTGCTTTCCGCAAGAGAAAGGCAAAGAAATCAATCTGTGCGTAATCATTAACAGTAACAATCACCACAGTGGAGAGCATTCGCCTACTCACAACTTCGCAAACGCGTTGAATTTTAGGGAGAGCCCTGCTTAGGTGCCAGGAGATAGAGCAGGAATTCTGGAGCTAGCAAGTGCAGAAGAAAATATGATAAATAACATATAGAGAATGAAAAAAACGGACTTCGAGGCATACTCAAGTGGACAAACTGCAAGCTTTGAGAACATCAAGGATGTCATTTATTTTGTATCACGTGACCGTGCCAATATAATGATCGACTCCTGAGTCGAGTGAGTTAATATTCTCGATGTGGCTCACTTGATACGATATGCAAAAACTGCGAGTGAATGGGCTCACTGTGACCTCATGGCATACAATATCAACATAGTAACTCAGTCAAAACAACAATTTTTCCATACAGCACTCTTTCGGCAACCTGATAACCCCTAGTAGGCTCACTCAATGGTTTCATGTCCACTTGGCTTCGACAAAATGCAGCAGATAACGAAACTGCAAAATTACTGCATAACCTGGAAATTGCGGATGAATCGGGGGGGGGCCGCGATGCAGTAATAGACAAGGAGAAGCTTGAATATCATGATGATGGCGATGATAGGATCATTTTTGTTTCCTTTTGACATTTGCGAAAAGACTTGTACAGCACGAATAAATGTCTGCATTATTGGCGAAGATCAGACGACTGTCATGCTGGTGCAGGACAAGAAGTTAAAAGATCCAGAACCCCAAGTCATTGCAGCAGCTATTGCTGCATTTGCAAATAACGAGATCCGGACCATGAGCCGTCGACCTCGTCTTCCTACCATCACTTTTCCGGCCATCACTATGCATGGCACCTATCCAGTCTTCTACAAAATCAAAGTCACGACTCAACTATATGATGCTGTTGCAAGCGGAATGTATCCCCCAACGGCAGCACATGTTCTTCGATATATTCCGGACCTTCCCCTACCCTATAACGAAGGAATGCACTTTCTCCAGAACAGAATTGAGATCCTAACCTGCCTGGAGGCATTCAAACAGTTCTTGTAGAACTGGCAGGTGAGCTCTTTACTTCGTTTGTTGATATACTCACCTAACTATGGTTTTGGAAGTTCAAGCTTATCTGCGGAGGTCGCGGGGTGGGCCAGGGATACATTGGATGATATTACATGGGAGGCTGCGGCTGAAAGGTGAGATGCTGCACCTGCGGCCCCACTTGAGACGATGGAAGTCAAACAGTGAGATATGCAATTCGACAGCACGGATGATAGCAATACGAATGTAGTAAGACATAGCGATGTTTCTTTTTATCCAAGGAAAGCAAGAATATCTCTCGTCGAAGGTCTCTTCTCAGGGGCTGACCAGCAGCTCTTGACCAACTCCCATAGACGGTCATCCAGACCTCTTGCGCTGGCCGCAGGATCTTTGGGACGTGGGGGCATCTCCCCCCTAGAAAGTTTGATGATGACGTGTGTTGTGTGGCGGATGTTGTGCCATGGTACTTCATGCGTCATGATCTAAAAAATGCTATGAGATATGCGAATTGTTCTCGCGTGAAATTTCAACTTACCTCGAGTATAGTCATGCCATATGCGAAAATGTCAGATTGGGTGGTAAGCATGCCGCCATCACAGCAGAGCTCCGGCGCAAGCCATCTTTGGGAATTCGAAACTCTGAATTACGTTGGGTCAGTACGTTGCAAGTAATGGCATTGTCGATCTCAGTACCCAGCAGACATCGTGAAATTCACGCCCGTGACATCTTCTAAGACCTGATTCCACATATCAATAATGTGGTCAATCAACTATTGGAATGTGATGCTACCTTGGCGAAGCCAAAATCGGCCAGCAGGGGGTTCCCGTTGGCATCGACAACGATGTTGGACTAGGAGCACAATCACGTCAGGCCCTCAAAAGGTAGATAAAGCTACGCACCGCTTTGAGGTCACCGTGCACGATCGGGGGTGTCATGCTATGCAGGACATTCACACCCTCGCAAATACCTTTGATCTGCAACGAGTTAACATCACACCAATCATTCCTTAGAAGACTTGTACATACCAGAGTATAATGATCTACGGTGGGGTATTTTCTTATATACTCGTCCACTGTACCATTGACCATCCATGGACTTACAACATACCTGATCGAATGATGTGGTAAGAGGAGTGGACAACCATATGGGGGAAGGGCTTACGGGAAAGGTCCGTCGTTTTGACAGAAACCGTAGAAAGGAAGGATATGCTCTCCGCGGTCAGCTTCCCACACGCGTTTCCAGATGTCCACTTCTCTCTTGAACCTCTAGAAAACGATGTGAGGATGCAATTTCGAGCAGAGGAGAGTGATAATGTACCCGCAGCGTTTGAGGTTCGCAGTGAACAGCCCGTAGGATCTTGATGGCCACCTTCTCCTCGTTCAAATAGTAGCCTTCCCATATATCCGCTGATCCCGTTCCCTTGACAGCATACTGTCCGATGCGCTTCACTTCACCGCGTTTGAGGTTCATGTTCGGTAAGAGGGACTGAGATGAATGTTGGACGTAGTACAGGTTGCTTTCCATACCACGATCTGTGGTTGGAACATGACCCGGAAGATTCTGCATAGCAATGAGTTCATCAGGACTAGTCTAGTGGTGAGTTGGAGTGACCTTTTGCATTAATTTCATGATCTGATGCAGATCTGCAGCCTGCTTCGTCTGTGCGACTTGCATGAGCTCCTGCTGGTTCCTGATGTCGCCCAGATACTGCACGATGTCTTCTTTGTCTCGTGTATGACTCAACTCGAAGTTTGCCTGCCATGCGTGAATAGATATGTGAGAGGTGATCTGAAGAGGCGTTAGAACGATTTTGCTAGAGCACGCTTCAGTACCTGTAGTTTGACCAAGCAATCTGAAATATCAGCGTGGCATTGCTGAATGGTACCAGCCAGCTCGTCTTGTTTGACGAACAGCTTGACCCTGGACATGGAGCACCACGGCTCCATTCTGTTCAAAATATTTTGAAGGGTGCTGATGGGCAGATCAGCTGATTGATCGGCGGTCAAGCCAGACTACTAACCCTTGGGCACCCGAACACAGCCTAGCCTGTTGATCCGGGGACAAATTCTGCCCCTCATTGTTGATGATGGACATAAGACTCAGGCAGCGATCTTGGAGTACAATGATTCCATTTCTGTGATGGGCTGTTCAGTACTCGGATCTGTGGGCTATCGAAGATATTGCATACTTATTTGCTTCCGCTGCTGCGAGCATATTGATCAATGCGACCAATATACCCGTGGCAGGTGCGAGCCATGGCACTGGAGCAAATTGTGCAGCTGTCTGTGCTGCACCTACGATTGCCCGAGCTGCTATATTGGCCATTAATAACGATATGGCTCAGGATGGGAGTGTGTCAGTTGAAGAAGGGAAGTCGAGGAGGCGCAACCTGTATAATCGTGAGTTGACCGTGAGTTTATATACTGCTGTGCACCTCACAACATGCATGGTATGTGCTCGTGTATGGATTGACGCTCAGGAACACGACGTGCGAGTTTTGCGGAAAAATCCTCCACCTACGCATATCAGAATATAAGAACATTCAGGAGATCGGGGATTCTATAGCGCCTAGGTACCCAAGATCACTTCAACGTGGTGCAAACACTGCTTGATGCCAATGGAAGTTCTCATAGAGAATGTTCACGGCGCTTCACTTGTCGCGGTGATCACGTGCCCGGTGGACTTGCTCGGAGTTCAAGTTTTCAGCTTGTCATGCACAGGAACTGTCATCACCATGGCTCGAATGTTCCCCACGTCTGATCCGTCCCTGCCACCCTATAGGTCTCTCATAGTACAAGGAGATTATCACCCTTCAGCTCCAATTCATATGTGTCTGTCGGTTCCAACGGGTGCCAAGGCTTTACTTCTTTCTTCTGCTCGACAGGCTCTCATACGTAGCCTTCGGGGGTACAGCGACGAATGGCTTCTTACCAATTCTGGAATAGGGAACACTTGTCAAAGTAGTTCCGAAGTTGACATCTTGTTGGTCCCCATTTTTGTGTATGGGTGTGGGGTAATGTGATCAATTTGCCCAATCCTCAGCTACCCACCAACCCCAAATCACCTGGTCGTGTTATTATCCGCGTTTAGAACATACAAGGCCTCCGATCCTGTACCCCTCGATGCCAAAGCAACTCTAGGTTCCGTTCCGTCGTTGCTTGTTTTGCACGAACTATCTGCGTACTTTTTACCCATAAATGAAAACAAACCGTATGTATCATTCACTCTTGCTGTGTGCATCATGTTTTTAGGAAATTTGGTCGTTGCCAAGTCACACTATCGCATCGTATCTCCAGCTTGTTAGCCACGCGTTGGCTTTGGCAAGTTTCCTCTCCTCAGAATCACAGTGCGTTAGATGGCAGTGCAGTATTCCATCGATAAATGGAGCGTTTAATATCATTTAGAACTCCTATGCGCTTCGTTCTATTTGATTCACAACTTGACAAACTGAAGCTTCCCGTCCTACGAACCCCAACTGTCCCCGTGTTCGGCGGAGAAGAGAATGACGATGAAACACCTAGACCCGAATCTGTCGCTTTTGTGGCGCACAGGTATTTTGAATGGGTGGGCACGTTTGACCGGTGTATTACTCATTTATTTTCTTTTGGTTCGCCTTGCTGATCTATTCTATCAGCCGACCCAGAAACTGATTTTCTATCTGATGGAAGTGGAATACGCCGCTGTGCTCTCACGCTGCACAAGCAAGGCAGTGACATCAAATCGGATATCGTGTGGCGGTGGTCAGAAGTTCCAGAACAGACGCATAGCCGTTGTGAGAGACTTGCAATCACATTTGCCTGGTGACGACGCGTGGGTCCAATCTGCAGCTGGCTTTGCACGAGATTTCTGAACACAGGATGATCCTGGCCCTCGATCATTGAGTACTGAGGGTTCGATTCAGAGTCGAGTCCGGCCCATCTTCCTTGATCATTGCTATGTGGAACAAGTTGTTGTCCTTCCCT